TTTTTAATTTTTAACTGTTACACTTATAACAAGATTACAAAAGGACCTTATCACAGAAAATTTTAAGAAAATGAGGGGTATAATTTTAATTTTCTTTTTTTAGTTTTGCCCCTGACAACTGGCAATTTTGGTCAGGTGCAAATCACTCGTGCGTGTAGTTCTGGAAAGAAATCTACTCCACAATTGCAGCCGTTTGGTGGAGTTTAAATTTTAAAAGCACACCAAACAGTCCTAATGCATCTTTTGGTTCCTTCTCAAGCAAGGATTGATAATTTACTCTTTTTTATTTTAAATGTTACTCAGATCAATAATTAATAAATGAGTTTATCTAACTTGTATTTAAGAAGATGAATTAAAAAATATTAAGTTTATTTTTTAAAAATTAATTTATATAAAAAATAAAAATTAATTTAAAATTTATCAATTACTCAATTAAAATAATTCAAGTGGTATTAGTATTAAAAATAATATTTTATTTATATATTTTATATGAAAATTTATTACAAAATAATATATTTAATATACTTGAAAAGTACAAGTTAGATTAATCTATAATAAATTAATATTTCATCTTTTTTAATTATTTTTCACACTTTCAAAAAAGTATTTTAATTTACTTATTAATTTTATTTAAACAAAATATTATTTTTTAACAAATTTCACACTTATTAGTACGATTTTTTTTAATAGTGATTGCTTGTCACACTTCTCATCTTTCCTTAATTAATTGAATCCTTCATTAAAAGATAAAAAATACTATTAAATATAAAATTTAGCCTATAGCAACTACGTCTTTATATTTTTTAATAATTATTTTTATAATCATGTCAAGCGCAACAGGTAAATTAAAACTAACCAAATAATATATTGACATTAATTTCTTTTTTAAACAAAATTTGTTGAAACTAATCAATTACATTTTACATAAGGGCACTAGAAAAGTCCAAATGTGTTGATTTAATTGATTTTATTATGAGTTTATCTATCATGTACTCTTAGAACATAAGATAAGATCTAATTATTAAATAATAATAGTTAATTTTTTATAAAAAAATATATGATATTTTAAATTAAAAATAAATTTTGATTTTAATTTCAAAATAAATAAATAACACATGACATTTATAATTAAAATACAAATTAATTTTACTATTTTCAAGATAAAAACAATATAATAATTATACAATTATTACATCTTATTTTGTATCATAAAAACACAAAATAAATAAACTCTTTTATTATTTCATAATTTTTTTCCTTAACACATAAGTTCATTTTAAACTTATATTAATTATTTTATCAACTATTAACCATCAACTACAAACACAACCATTGGTTCTTCCTAACTGCCTTCTTCTTTTTTTTTTTCCTTCCGTCTAACTAAAAACTCTAGTTAGTTTAAAAATAAAAATAAAAACAAAAAAACTACCTCCGGTCCGTTACATAGGTATGGAAATAGAACTTTCCGTTACCGGGAAAGAATAATCAGGGTTTATTTAACCAAACCGTGGTAATCTACTGCTAACGATCCTATCCAACCAATGAGTACAGAACACGTTAGGGAGTTTAATAAAAAAGAATATAAATGAAAGAAATAAAATAATGAAATGAATAGTCACAATAATCATTATTTTTATTATTATTAGTAATAAAAAACTCCAAAACCCACACTTGTCTTTACCCTCTCCCGGGCAGCCCCAACCCGCGATCTTTTTACACGATGATGACGGTACCCGTCCTGCCCGATTCCTGACTGGAGAATTACGGGCAGTCACTCACCAGTACCCTCCTCTCTCTGTCTCTCTGTGTGACATTCTCTCCTATATCTTGCTTCCTCCGTCTTTCCTTGATGACGATCGGACGGCCCACAATGAACGGAGCTTTTTTTCCTCGTTTTCTTAGCTTTTAGAGCTCCAAACACTCAGATCTGCTATCTCTGCGCACCGATCTCCGTTCCTGGTATGATTTCCCTCTCTTTTACGCTTCTTTTCGTTCTAATTTCGTCGCTTTTCCTCTGTTTCTTTGCTGTTCTCTCTCAATTCGAACTCGTTCTTACGATTTCCTGCTAACCGAACATTTTAGCCGGCGGATTCCGCGCTGAATCCTGGTAAAATGATGTTTTCGCTTCGTTTTTCTCGTTTTCCAGCTAGTTATGGTGATTTTTCTGGAAGAACCTTCTATTTTAAGCAAATTTTTACTGGTTTTCTCGATATGAAGGTTTTCTAGAGCAATTTTCTCCAAGTTTTGTTCGTTTTGCTTAAGTTTGCTTGTTTTTGGGGAGTTGTGGATGTTTTGCTCATGTTTTAGTCCAACTTTGTGTGCCAAACTATTTCGCCGGCGAGCTTTCCCTTCACTGAAAGATATTTCTTGTCCTTTTCCGCCCAAAACCACTGCTAATTAATTTTTCTTCTACACTGTTTAAAGGAAGTTCTATGTTTTTTATGCTTTTTTTTTTAAAAAAAAAAAAAGGATTTCAGTGCATCTCTTTTTGAACTGTATATTAGATCTAACGGCTGAGAAGGTTTTAGTACAGATCTAATGGTCAGCGGCTTGTGTTTGCAGGTTGTGTTTAATATTATATTTTCTATCTCGTTGGCCGCGGATATGGAGAATAACCAAGTTCCAGTGGCAGTTACGGTTAGTTACGCCGTGCAAACGTGCGCCGGCGAAACGATAGCTACCTTGTTACTCTCTGCTTTGGTCAAAACGCACCTTTTAGCTCTGGTAACTATTTTTAAAGATTTTTTTAGTCTTTAGTAACTTTATTTATTATTTTCACCTCGTCCTTTTTTTTTTTGTTTTTATTTTTCGCATGTAGCTGAGTGTGTCTTTGATAGTTTGATGCTAAACTCCTGTATGCGAGTTTGCAACGTTTTTTTTTTTTTTTCCTTTATTTTTATTATTTTTATACAAAATTTTTCCTTTCTGCTTCATATCGTGCTTGTGCGTGTATCCCTTGGATGGTTTTGCTGTTTTTTCCTTGTTCCTGACTCCTGAGACTTGTTTTGTCATGGTATTAGGATACCTTTTCTCGGTTTTCTCTAACCTCGCTAAAAAGCGGTGCGGTTGATTTTTTCTCATCAACAAAAATATTTCCATTTTTCTGGTAAACAAAAAGAACTTTTTTTTTTTTGGTTTGGTAATCTTCTTCACTCTGGGTGATTTTTTTGGCTGAACAAAAGAATATTTAAGGTACTTTACTGCTTAATTTTACTTCCTACTAAAGCGCACGGCAGGATTAGAGTTAGGTTATTTTTAGTGAAAAAGAAAGTCACAGCTGTTTTTGGGATATTTTTCTTTGGGCAAAATGACTGTTTGCGGACGGGGAAAGGGACAATGAAATATGGTTTATTGGGAAGTTTGGGTTCCGGCGCGTTGCACGTGGAGTCTAAAATATCTTTTGGACGGGTCCGATTTGTAGAAAAAGTCGAAAGTCTTTGTTTGTTGATCCAATATTCTGTGGACAAAGCTTGATACACGTCACACCTGTATTTTTTGTATTTGACTGTATTTTATTCCCAACTAAAAGTTTTTTATTTAGAAAAAAATGTTTATTAGCACTACCTTCAAAAAAAATTAAGTGAAATAATATTTTAAAATTATGTTATTTTAATAAAATTTTATTAATAAAAAAAATTAAAACATCTTAGTTTTTAAATTTAAAAATTGAGGTTACTTTTTTATATTGTTTTATTAAAATAATGTAATTTTGAGTGTTTTTTTTTAAAATTTTTTTTAAGATGGGCTGATAACCACTAATTCTTTTTTATTTTCTCATAAAGAATTCTTTTATTTTCTTAATTGGTTTTGAAGCAAAGTGGAAGAAAAAAAACATAAATATGGACATAAGAAAATAAGTAAGATATTAAATTTTTACTTTTTAAAATTCTAAGGTATATATCATTCTTTTTATTGGCCGAAAGGTATTTATTATTCTGTCGTCACTATAAAATGCCTGATATAGTATGTCTAAACTTGGAATTTGTTGTATCTCCTGGTCTAGAATCTAGATAATGCTCTCTTTCTCTATTTAGTGATGTAACAATAAAGGGCATATCTTATAATGCTCTTAACAACATAGGACAAATGGTCTGGTTCTGGCTCTTATGATTATTGGTGCAAGGCTGTACCTCCTGTATGGTCGTATTTCCCTTTCCTTGTCCAGTGGTAGCATATTCCATTTCCACTAGGGTCATATCGTCATTATCATCCTTCAGACCCAACTTTTGTCCCGAGATGCTTGCACCAAGGGATTCACTAGATGGCGTTCTTTCTCCTTTTTTTAGTGGAGACGAGAACTGCATCTGTTGTGTATATATATGATATTCTGGTTAATAATGCACTGACTTTTTAATTGCTTGCACTGTTCCTGTAGCTTATTTTTTATGAAAAAGCAACTGCATCTGTAGAGCATATATTCTTCTGCCATCCAAAGTTTTAATAATAGAGGCGATTGCACTTCTATTTATGATGTTGGTCAACATTTGTATTATTGCTTTTTATATAAATCACAGAAGATCTCTTATCGCTTTACGCGATTGCTTCAAATGGGTATTGGTAAAATTCGTTTTCAGGATTCCATTGCTTTGCTGTTGAGCATTGCACCTAGAACCAAGGGAGACAACATGGAAAACCAAGCTAAGCCTGAGGATGCTGAGGGAGACAATGGCAATGAAGATGAAGGAGATGATGATGATGAGGGTGGTGGCTTTGGAGAGGGTGAGGAGGACTTGTCCTCTGAAGAAGGCGAGGATTATGGCAACAACACCAACAACAATAAGAGCAACCCGAAGAAGGGTCCAGGTGGTGGGGCTGGTGGGGCTGGTGGGGCAGAGGAAAATGGCGAAGATGAAGATGATGAGGATGGTGAGGACCAAGATGATGATGATGAGGAGGACGATGACGATGATGAGGACGAGGACGATGATGGTGGGGATGAGGATGAGGAAGATGTAGAAGGAGTCGAGAATGAGGAAGACGAAGAAGATGAAGAAGAAGAGGATGAAGATGATGAAGCTCTCCCGCCACCAAAGAAGAGGAAGAAGTGAATTGAACAACATTAGTAGAGCCTCCCTTAAATACTGTTTCTATGTAACTTTGTTCCTCTAACATTATAGCCTTAATTAGCTTCGTTGAGGAGGCCATCTAGGACCAATGCTTTTATGCACAATTACCTCATTTCCCTTTCATGATTAGAGAATTGTTAAAAACTATTTTAGTAACGGCAATGATTGAGATGTATCATTAAGCTAGTTTATTTACCTCGATGTTGAGATAGCGATATCCGTGATCCTCCACTTTGGATTCTATCCAAGCACTGTCTCCTCGTAATCCACAGTGGGTGGTAGATGCCAACGCTGGTGGTCCAATTTTTTCAACGTTTTATTGGGTTTAACTTTTGACAAAAATAATTCATCAAAAATTAAAGGTTTGCCCTTACCCACCATGATTGGAAATTTGGATGTAAATCTATGGTTGCGTAACATCATCGAATTATTTTAATGAGAAGTGCTAGCCAACTGGACTTTAAATATTTAACCCTGGTTAGAATAATAGAACATAGAGAAAAAGTTGCTTTTATCATGGGATCTTGCCACTAATGCCAGCCAGACCCAATGCCGGCTGAAATGAAAAAGCTAACAAAAGTAACAAAATCAATGCACCAAAACCATTTCTTGAAAAAGTTTAACACCACCTTGAATGATGAATTAATCCAAATCCAACGTCCTCAAAACAGAGAGCAAAGCTTTCTAACTCGGAAACAATTGAAAAAGAGAAAAGAAGCAAAAAGCGAAAAACAAGAAATAGAAATGGAGTGATGCAAAATTGTTGCATTGACATGCTAGCATGCAGGGAGCTAAACGACAACCAACGAAGCTAAAAATAAACCATGAGTTTATAAGTTAAATATTTGCTTCCATTTGATTTTGCATCCTATTATGAGCTAAAGATTTATTCTTAATTTTTGTGCACGGACAAATTTCTTCTTTTTTTTTTTTTGGAACAGTTTTGTCATTGAGCGAGTTCGAATCCCGTCCAGGGAAGGGAGATGTGCACTTTTCAATGGCTCTAGCTACTGGACCACACGGGCCAAATGCGTGCACGGACAAATTTCTACGAATGTCTGTTGCAAGAAAGGAATTCCGTAAGAATTTAGATCATAATGATGATAAGAGAAATTGTCTTGAATTATTTCATTAAAAAAAAGGAACGGTCTTACATAACTACTAAAATTAATTTTAAATCAATTAAGAAACAAAAACTGTAACTTCAATAATTTCACTAAGCTGAAGGACAATGGAAAACTAAGCTTTCATAAATCAATGAACTCGTAAACCAGGAGGCATCTGCATGATACCAAGGGGTTTTTTCAGGAATTCCCTACTCCCAACATGTTGGCCTGCCTTTGACCAGACTAAGAATACAACTCAATGGTGTGTCCAAAACCAGAAAGTTGAAAGAATAAAAAAGGAAAGGAGGCATTAACAAGTCAAAGTGAACATTATTAAACCACAAATATGGAAGATAATGTTTCAAAGAAATCAAATGAAACACAACCATGAAAAGAAATTATAAAGCAAAAGAAAAAAGATCCAGTGCAAGAAATATAAAAAAGAAAAGTAGCTAAATGAAATATTATTCCCATTGTTTTTCTGGATGATATTGCTCAAGAAAGAAAAAAGAAGAAAATGAATAAGACAAAGAAGAAAGGAGAAGATAGATCTAAACAGCCAAATCTACTTCGGGTTGATCAGATGTGAAGATTTGAAACAGTAAGTATAGTTATCATAATTCAAAGAATTCCATAGTAACTATGAGTGGAAAACAATTGCCAAAATTGCATGAAGTTCCTCAACTCAGCTGCAAATAATCTGCAATATGTAGCCCAAAAAATGCCATGGCAGAAAAAACAACAAAAATATTTAAATGCCTCTCATGTAGAAGGCTTTTATTAAAACTTGTAAATAATAAAGGACTGAAATGTGAAATAAGATATCAAAGGAGAAGATAGGTTATAAAAACAATTCAAAAAGAGAAACAAAACACTACTAGTAGATTATAAAGAAGAAGCTAGAAATTTTCAGGGCTTGACCAAAGTTCCAAACTACAATCTAACTGGAGGTTTTGACATCCAAATGCAAGCCTACTATAAAATAAATTGTCTGGTAACAAGCTGAAAACATCAGACTGAAAAGAATGAAAAACATTTGCAAATTTAGGACATATTATTAGGGAAATGAACTCTAAGAAAAAAAAAAGAAAAAAAGAAGGAAGCAGGAAAATATTTTTGGAAAACTTCCCAGAAGACCCACACACTATAATGCATGGAACTGTGGTAGAACCAAAGAACTATGGTCCAATGGTGCAATAGAAACCCATCTAGTAACAAGCTGAAAATATCAGACTGAAAAGATGAATTTTTTTTTTCTTTGGCAAATTTAGCACATATAATTAGGGAAATTAACTCTTGAGTGAAAAAAAAAAAAAATACTGAAGCAAGAAAATATTTTTGGAAAACTTCCCAAAAGACCCATATACATACCACAAAAACTAGAATGCGTGGAAGAACCAAAGAACTATTGGCCTAATGATGCAATAGAAGTAGAAACCCATCTAAAGGACTAAAAAGGGGCTTTTCAAAGTTGAGGGACCAAAAAGGGGCTTTTAACCAAAGTACAGGTACCAAATTGGAGTTTTAACTTAAATAAAATAAGAGACAAACCTTATAAAAACAAGGATAAAATGACCTAATAGTTTGAAAAAAATTATCAAGAATCACACATAACAATATTTTCAAGTCTCAACGAATTAAAATGATAGCTCATAACAATCAAACACTACAATAAAACACGTAAGAGTTCACAAGGACAAGACAATAACAGTTTGAAACAGAAAATCATTCAAGACAATATATCTAACAATCCTGATTAAGAGCTCAGTAAAATCACCACAGATGGTAAACCAATCTTATGCTTAGTAAAAAAATAAGACCCTATATATCACAGGTGGTTAAAAGTAATCAAGAAGATCTTTCTGCTAGCTCCAATTCTTGTAAAAAATCAGGGAGAGCAGAACAATAAGAAAAGAGAATAACCAAAAACAAAAAGGCAAACAATAAAAAAATTTAAAAAGAAAATTTATTGAATCATCACAA